TGAAATTGATTTTCAATTCAATTAAACTGTTTGAATTGAATTTGTGGGCATGGTGGAACTAGTAGTGGCAAACATATATACATATAATATATATGTGTGTACTCTATTTCAACATAGGGAGACTGAAGCACCAAGAGTGGCCACGCATAATCACGCAAAAGGTGAAAAAATTCTAAGATTGGAAAAAACAAGTATCCAATATAGAAGATTCCAAATCCAAGGCACCAAATTATTATCAAGTGGAGGAGAGTTTTTCGAGTAGAGCCTCTTTGCTGATAGAGTTCAATTTATAACCGTTACATATAGTTAAATTAAAAAAAAATATTAGAATAAATTTTTTATACAAATTTAACGGTTAAAAATAGAAAATTATTGATAGTATATTTTTTTTTAATCTTAAAAACTCAATATTTTATGCGAAACAGATCAACCGAATGATTGACTAGACCTACATGAAAGATAGGATTCTAGAATTCGCTCCAGTTAAAAACTTGCTAGCAAGTTGTAATTAATCGTGTTTTATAATGCCATTCCCAAGAGATTTGAGTTGAGCACTCGTAAATTGTGAAATTATAAATAAATAAATATATGTTTCACACAATTAGCCGTATATCGACCACTTTCAGTGGTATCTATTTCATTAAAAAGATGGAAGTTTATCTGTTAAGACTGAAAAAGAAAATGAACTATCAATAGACTCTATCCGTAGATTGGTCTATTTGAGAAGGTCTTAAAAAGATTATATACATTTTTAAGTTAGAATTTTCTACGGTAGGTTTTTTTTTTTTTTATTGGTAGTATTTTTTGATTGTTGAATCTAATTAAAATCACATTAAATTAAAAAAAATATATAAATAAATAAATTTTGATACAAATTTACCAACTCAAAAATAAAAAATTACTGATAATTTACTTTTTCTAATCTTATCAGACGAACTTTCTTTTAAGTTTTCCATTTACATGACGACGATCGCACCATTTGTGGCTCATCTTTTTCTTGAACAGAATATATGACTTCTTTTTGACTTGGACATATCATATCTGCATTAATATCCATTTTTAACCACGTGAACATTTCAACCTAAAGCTTTTGTGCTTGTAACCTTTTCATACATATATACATGTGTGTGTGTGTGTATATATATATATATATATATATACATATATATCACCGGACTTGTTGAATGGTGGTAATTGTATATGGACGATTTTAAATAGTTACATTTTTTTATAAGATAAAAATTTTATTTGATTAATTATCATTAATATTTGATTAATTATCTAATTTATTATAATCGTCAGATTAAATATCTTATGATTTAAATAATGATATCTGTTGTGTGGGAAAATATGAGCGACATGTGGAACAGCGACAGCGTGACACGTGGCCCTACTTTTCCTCAAAAGGCGACAACCCTCGACGCTTGGAGCTCGCTTCCCCTCTACGCTGCAAAGAAGGCCTGACTTAGGGCATCGACTCGGCATACCGTTGACCAGTCGTGCCGTCGATCTTATGGCAACAAAATTCCTATGTTTGGAAAGGGTCGACTGCCAGGAAGGACATGAGGTCTACGCAACGCAGACGATGAGGGGAATACTCTTCAAAAAGGAGCCTGACATCACAAGTTGCGTCTAAGGATGGGAGATGTCTGCAGTACAGGCATTAATTGCAATCCCCTAAACCGCCCTACAGTGGGCAGTGAAGGATTACAGGAATCCACAGGGCCGTAATGGAAGACTAATTGGCTGAGTGAACAGTTCAAAAGGTGATTAGTGGGCTACGGTCTGGGCCTAGAAAGGTAGGTTACTCGAGTACTTCTACCTACAAAGGAGAACCGCCCACGAAGGAACCTTGAGCTATAAAAAGCGCAAAGCCCCATACACGAAGGGAAGAATTTGGCTATTTTCTCATATGTAATCAGAGAATAGAGAGCTGATTTTATGTAATCCAAAAAGAGCCCAAGGGAAATACAATACACAAGTGGATGTAGCTCTTCATTAACAGAGTGAACCATTATAAATTCCGTGTGTCCTCTCATTCAAGCATTATTCTCGTGCTACCAAAAAATTCAACAGACACTTCATAGCATAATTTTAAATATATAGTTAATTTCCAGCTGGTAACCCAACGGGATACCAGTGGGTAACCCGGCATATTTCTGTTGACGAAATTCAGCTGTCAACAATATCCATTAATAAATATTAAAACAACTATTAAAACCACACTCATATATATATATATATATAGTAGCTGTGTTTCCGGTGATCTGGTATGAAAAATGTATGACAGCACGTTGTATGTGTTGAGCAATGTGACGACGTCATTATACCGAAATCTTTGGTTTTGTTTTATTTTGTGCCACTTTCTTTTTTTCTTTCTTTTTTTTTTTCTTTTGTTTTTTGTTTTGAGAGTTACTATCTATTTTAATTTATGGCCACTAAAAATGGCACAAAGTCATTAGTGAACAGCATTTTCCGAGTTGTAAAGGTCCAATAATATTCTAGGTTGTTTGGCTTGGAGCTACCCTTATAATTCCAAACTGGCTAGATCATTTTCATTTAACAACAGCTATACAAAAAGACATTAATGTCCGTACACATACCTCTTTCATGAATTAGCCTTATCAGACGTCATGAGTGTGCTGCTTCCTTGGTCGCTAATGATCAAAACTTAAAAAGTAAATAAAAATGGATAGCACATGCAAAAAAGTTGGGTGGGGGGTTTCGACAGCAATGGATCATATTGGTCCAGTAACAATCAGGAAACAATTTTATAAAGGGTAAACTTGTATTGGAGATCTTTTTTTTTTTTTTTTTTTTTTTGGTATGGAATTAAAAAATATATCTTAATATAGTTTTTTAGATAAATTTTATTTTTACCTCAGGAATTTTGGTCTTTTTGTCAAATTATCTCCCGAACTTTGAAAATTAATCTGCGCACCCCGTGAACTTTGAAACGTTATCACTTTGTCCTTTCTGTTTATTTGACTAACGGATTTGATGACGTGACAATTATTAGAGGGGTAGTTTAATGAATTATTTATATAAATGCCTGTTGAAGTATGTATCATATTTCAAAATGTCTCACAATCTATCAAAACACATCAAAATGCTCTAATCTTTAAAAAAAACATAATAAAATAACAATTTTACTGATGTGGCATGTTATTAAAAATTAATTAGACATTAAATTCTAATTAAATCATTAAAAGAGATTAAAATATAAAAATTCTTCACTTCAAAAATATTTAAAAATTAAATAATTTGTTTCAATATAAAAAATCTAAAAGAAAAGAACAAAAAAAAAATTGAAAAACCTTCATCCTCTGCAGCCCTCAAAGTGCAAATTAAAACAAAATTTTGAGGAATAAAGTTTTTCGATGTTTGAAGAGGAAGAAGGTTTTTTTATCCCTTTTTTTTATATTTGTTACTTGTCTTTTGTATTTTTTGAATTTTTAGTGGTATGCTATATTAACTAATTTTAAAAAAAAAATTAAAAAACCCAAAAGACAATACAAAATTAAAAAAATTCATGTTTATACAAAAAAAATGTGTTTTCATATGCACTTTAAGAACTAAAAACGAATATGGTTTTTCAACAAAAAAAAAAAAATCTTCTTTCCTTTTGGATTTTGATTTTTGAAAAAAAAATTCATTTATTTAATTTTTGAATTTTTTGAAGTGGGGCATCTTTATATTTATTTTTTGTTATATTTTTCAATATTTAATCACTTTTATTGATTCAATTAGAATTTAATGTCTAATTAATTTTTAACGGCATGTCACATTAGTAAAACTGTTATTTTATTATCTTGTTCATATATTAGAGATATTTTAATGTGTTTTGATAGATCATGGAGCATTTTGAAATATGATACATACTTCATGGAGCATTTATGTAAATAATTCATTAAACTACCCCTCCAATAATTACTATGTCATCAAATACGTTAGTCAAATAAATAGAAGGGGCAAAGTGAATAACGTTTCAAAGTTCAGAGGGTGCGCAAACTAATTTGTAAAATTCGAGAGGCAAAGTGACAAAGAGATCAAAGTTTTGGGGGCAAAAATATATCATGCAAAAAAGAAAAAAAACTATACCATATTAAATTTTTGATCTTAAATATATAATTAGCATTAGTATTTCTATTGGGGATGGTTTGAGATGCTATCTATATTACTTGTCTCTAAATATTGAATCATATTATAGAATATGAAGTAAAAAAATATAACTAACAAAATATTTGTTTGGTGAATAAATGCATAACAAAGTGTAAACTATAATTACAATATCTTTTCATTATTTTGAACTTTTATATTATTTAATCATTTATTGTTATTTATGTAATTAAAATCATCAGTTGCCTCGATCCTTGCCTACAGAAATGAAATAATTTTCTCGATAAGATACGTGTTATATATAAATCAGCTCGATGTAAACTTCTAGCCACACATTGCCCTATAGCTTTCAAACTGATACCCCTCTAGTTGTCTAGTTCATATATATACCCCCAATAATACAGAAAAACGTAAGAAGCAAAGATTTAATTTGGGCCTTAAACATCAAAGTGGGATAAATGTGTGTCTCTGTCTCCTCTTCGTGGAATCATCATGCAATACATGCATGTCAGCCATTTAATACCTTTTGTTTTTGGATTTTTTTTGTTTTGTCTTCTTTTTTTTTGAAGACAACGCCAGTAATGATGGTAAATAATATATTTTAAATGATTTTTAAGTAAGTAGTATATTTTTTAAATGATCAAAATAAATAACATATTTACGGTAAATACAATATTTATTAATAAATGGCCGGCGTAAATATTTATATTTACAAGAAAATATTGCATATTTACTCTAAGTAAATTAATATCTACTAGTAAGTATGCTGTTAACCTCAATCCTCTAAATATATACTATTTACTTAATTAAAAATCGTTTTCAAAATATGATATTTGCCTTTTATCTTAAAAAGAATATAGATTGCAATCATACTAGCTATAGATCCAACAACTTATTAGATCTTGCACACAACTCTACGGGAACCCCAAAATACATCAACCAACCATATGTTACAAAAGGTTAAAAACCCAAAACAAATTAATAAACAATTAAGAACGATGTTTGTATTGACTTGAGAAATTAATTAACATAAACCAAAAAAAAAAGTACACGAAAAAAAAAAGTTAAAAGAAAAAAAACCACACCGAGTGACTAGTAAACTAACTGGTGAAAAGTGGCTTCCAAAGCTGAATTGACAGCTTCCCAACCCTGCTGGGTGGGATGGACATTGTCCCAAAAGAAAGCAGATTGAGGATCTTCACAAATGCTATACATCTTTGCCCCATTCTCATCTACACTTCCACATGAATACTCTGCGCTTGTTCCAACACAACATGGCTTCAAGGGATTCTCAAACTTTATGCTTCCTGATGAGCAAAAATATATCATGCCAAAAAAATTAAAAAAAGTGTTAGTATAGCAAAATATTGATGGCAACTAGGCATATATATTGAGAATATATATATATATATATATATACACACATATGTATGTATGTATGTATGATTATTAAAAAATGCTAAATTCGACACTATTAATTATGCTAATTAGTACTATTAGAATTGGAACACTGAATAATGCTATAGGACACCGGTGATGTTGAATAATACCCAACAATAGAAGATGAATTTCGTAACATAAAGATCATAGGTGGGTCCACTTTCTATTAATAGTATTTTTCGAGGACATCAGTCATGACAACACTTATGAAACAAATTAAGCTGAAGGTTAAATAATTATAATCACCTGGTTGGTTGCCTTTGTTCTTGAAGACAGTCATGAATGAGTCATAGAGGTCAAGGATGAGGAAAGGAGCATCCTTATTTTCATTGTTAAGCTTGGCCACAGCTTGCTGCAACAAGAGGTTGTGGAGGCCGACGAACGAGTTCTGGGTCCCATTGCATTGCCGGAATGAGGTCACGGCGGTGCTCCGAGGGAGGCATCCCAAGGGTTCAAGGGCTGTCACTGCTATTTTCTTCACTCCCAAATCATGGATTCGCTTCAAGTTCACATATAGTTGGTTCACCACTGATGTAATGAATGGTTGCCAGCCCTGAAAAATTAAATTAAAACACACAAATTTAACTACTAATCACTATAAAAAAAAACAATTATATATAGACATGACATGTCGTTAAATTCAAATCTGACTACACCTTAAGGCGTAGATTTCAAATCTCCCAACCTTAAACTTTTAAAAATATATGCGTGATATACTGATCCATACCATGTATAAATGCAAGAGCTCTATTCATTGCCAAAAATATTGTAGTTTTTTCTTTTAAAATAAACTTGAGACAATTTTTCTTCTAATTAGATGGTTTGTGAGATTTTCAACCCCTCAATGATTTCTTGTGCAGTTTTCTTTCACAAAATCTCAATTGGTAGATGCATGACATGGATTGATTGGGACTAAAAACTACGAAATTGTCTCTCTGATGTTATTGGAATGTGACGTTACTTAATATAGCATAATACTAGTTGAACTCCACTGTAGGAAAAAATTACATATAAACATTTAAAAAAAAAGAGTCAAAAAAGGATAAAATTGAGAAATAAATAAGTTTTAAGGCAAAAGGAGCCAAAACGAAAAAAAAAAAAAGTTTCAAGTAAAAAATAAAAAAAAGAGGTCAAAAAATGACTAAAATGAAGAAATAAATAAGTTTTAGGGCAAAAGGAACAAAAAAAATAGAAAATTTTCAGGACAAAAAGTAAAAAAAAATAAAAAAATAAAATAGGACTAAAATGAAGAAATAAATAACTTTAGGGTAAAAAAAATTTTAGGGCAAGAAGCAAAGAAACATTGTCAATAAAAAACTAAAAGGGGAAAATAAATAAATTTTAAGGCAAAAGGAACCAAAATGAAAATGAAAATAAAATTTTAGGACAAAAAGAAAAAAAAATAAAAAGTTAAAAGGACTAAAAAAAATGAATAAGTTTTAGGATGAAAAGTAAAAACAACATAAAATAAAAGACTAAAAAAAGGAGAAAGTTGTACACTTTCAACTAAAATTACGTAATTTTGGTTAAAAATGCATTATTCAAAGTATACTTTCTCACTTCAATTCACACTAAATGAGTAATAAAAAAAGGGCAAAAAGGAAAGAAAAAGGTTAACAAAGCTTCTTCGACAGAAATGACCAAAATGCCCAAACAAAAAACAATAAAAGAATAAGAAGTTGAGGACAAAACGGTAAAAATAAAAGTGAGGAGACACAAACAAAATATTTTAAAAATTGAGGAACAAAAACGACTAGACAATGTTCAAAGAATAGTAAAAGGTCTTGTATATAGTATAATATAGTGCCTGTTCTCTAGTCAAAATACTTTTAAGAAAATACAATGCCACAAAATTACAAAAAAAAAAAAAAAAAGAACAAAAAACCTTGTGGCATGATATATAACGGATGAGAATGTGTGAAACACAATCATGAATATAAATCAGATATTCTCAAAACAGAAGGGGATTTATACAAGACGTAGCCATCATTTTCTTTTATGAGAGTGCTGATGGCATATCAAAGTCTGGGCCCCAGGCATGGGCCCTTTGATCTTTGAACAAAGATGCCCAATGTGTGTTCGGCTGTTTTGCCGTCTTCATTTGTTCAGCTGATATATATATATATATATATATATATAGACACACATATATATATACGTGCATATTTGTATAATTGTGTATCTATAACAAACAAGGCAATCGAAAGAGAGCAAAAAAACAAGATTTTTCTGGACGAGGCAGAAATTACATATACCAAACCCATTACCCTAGGAGGCCCATCTCCTTCTTATTACGACACATTGTGAAGAGTCAGGACTCAACTGATAATATAAACATTTAATTAAAGTGAGAATCCAACAAAGTCAGACATACAGAAATACTCCTCAGCTGGACCATGTTGTTTTAACATCATCAGGTGCATCAGATGACTTTTATAAAAATGTATGGCAGAAAGCTTAAGTGTCCTACGTGTTAATGGGTGGTAAAATGCTACATTTTTCTTTTCTATAACAATGACTTTGAAAAAGTATAACACAAAATATTATCTATCGTAAACTAATGTTATACCTTTGTTAAAGTTTGTTCTTATACAAAATAAATATCATATTACACCCTTAAAATTACATTTTACAGTGTAGAACCTAAGGACGAATTCCAAAAACATATGTGTTTATGTATTTCGTGAGAGATTTTAATTGTGAGAATTTTTTGGGTGCGGAAACGGAAAAAAAAAAAAAAAAAGCCAATTTCATAGTATAAAACACAGCCAGCCTAGTACTATTTTCTCATAGAAATATGAACAGCAATATTGACAGCTGATGATCAGTTCCAATCAAATAGTGCAAAGTGAAATAGACAAAACCATGTGTTTTACGAGCAAATATATTTTGCATTGGACCACATGAAAATTCTCAAATATATATATATATACACACACACACATATATGTAGGTACGTGGCAGGTTTGCGACACTGTTAAAGCACAATGGCTTAATCTTGTGGCGTGTTAGGGCTAAATTAACAACCTTGCTAACAATAAATATATAAAATTTTATCATCATATTTTAATTAATGTATTTGGTGTATGGGGATAAAGATTCTAAGAGGGTGCCAACGTAGCTTGGAGTAATGTTGTTGGTTTCTTTTGTATCATCTCTCATTCATTTAAAAAAATAAAAAATAAAAGGTGCATTTAGAATTGGTTTTAAAATGATTTTTATTTTCAATAAAAAGTAAAAATGATATTGTTTTGAGAATCATTTTGGCACCGATTTTGAAATTACGTTTAGTTGGTTTTTAAAAAAATTATTTTGAGTATAATAAAAAAATAAAATTGTGTTTATTAATTAATATATTATAATATTATTGATAAGTATTAAAAAATGAAAACAGAAATGTAAAAATAACATTTAACTATTTTCTAATTCCTTCACAAAAATCATTATTACTGTTTTCATTTTCATTTTCGTTTTCAAAACATTTGCTAAACAAACGCCGTTTAATTTTTATTTTCATTTTTTGCTTCTCGAAATACGTGAAAACCGTTTTTGAAAACGGTTCCAAACACGCTGAAAATTTTCCAAATGTCAAAAAAAGTTTATAATCTTAGCAATTTTACTAAGCAATTTCAAAATTCCAAGCAAGAAATTGGCTTCAATGTGTAACACAATTCCAAAAGAGGAAGGAAAAACATACAAAATTTTTAAAAAGATATGCCATGCATTTTTGCAAATTACGTGAAAACTACGAGTTAAAAAGAAGTTGCTAACCTCGGCTGAGCCATTCCGGTAGATATAAAAAGAGTAGTCGTTGCCGGCGACGGTGACTAGGGCAACCGAGGATTGAAGGTCCCGGGGAGTGTAGACGGAGTCATTAATGAGCCACTGGAAGGAGTTGATCTGTGCAGTCATGTTCGGATCGGAGACCAAAGTGTCAAACACGCCTGTGCCTCCATGAGCAAAGTTCATTCCGTGCTTCAAGTGCCTCAGCTCCACTACCTTTCTCCATTTGTATGCTACTGGAGTCTTCACTCTCATAAACTTGGCTGCAACATAATTAAAGGGTTTCGATTTAAGTTAATTATTGATTAATCAAGTTTATTAGTTCTTATCATTGATATGAATTTACAAGTAAAATAGGTATGTACTTAAATAATATGTGAATTTCATGATGAAGTACTTAAATAATATCAAAAACTGTTATTATTTTTCCCTGTATTAAATGAATTAATAGGACACAGTTTTTAATCATAAAATATTTATCAATTCCGTTGTACTCTTATACCCTTTTATGTTTTAGATAATTCTATGTTAGTTGATAGTTTAAAACTATACCTAAATTCGATATTATCGTTAAAAAAAAAAGTGTTATGAGTAAAGTAATTTTTACCCCCTATAAAATTACTTATTGTACTCACCATATGGATTTTGATTTCTTTTCTCTCTTTTTTTTTTTTCTTTAAAATGTGGAGTATGTTTCGTGAGTGCCTTGGAATTCTTTGCACGTGTAAGATAACGGTTAGATATACATTAGATATTTGGAACACTTCGAATTCCATTAAGAATAGTGTGTCAATTATTATTCAATGGACCATTATAGTTTCCTATGCTTATGATTAAGAGACGAAAGTGGAAAATTTCCTTCCTTAAAAAAAAAAAAATAAATAAATTTCCAATTCAGTCTCCAAGGTAATTTGCTAACCGTCCGTGATAAGACGAAAGTGCTTTTCAAACATCAAAAAGGAATACTTCCAAATATATGTGCGTTACAGATAACAAAGACTGGTGACACAACATAAATAAAAGAGCAAAAAAAGAGAATGGCTCGTCAGCTTTTGTACTCTAGTATGTTATAAGCTAATGCTTTTTTTTTTTAATTTTTAAATCTAATTATAAGCTAATGCTGATCTCGTCTGTGATATTTAATGCTTAATATTAATAAGTAATTAATATAATGCTTATCAATAAGGTAGAGTAATAAACAATATTGGTTTAATGTGCAATTTAGTAAGAAAGTGTAGAACTTTTTTTTTT